ATCCAAGTCTCTGTTGCCTAGTTTTGCCAATATTTTACCTCTTCAATACCCTCTAGTTTTATATAAATCATTAAGACCTAGTTCACTGGCTTTAGATTACAGAAAGTTTTAGGATTCATGTAGACTTCCCATGTATGAAATCTTCATCGTCCCCACTTGACCTGACAAGGTTCTACTTCTGTCCTTTCTCTATCACCATCTCATTGCTCATTACAGCCCTACAGAAAATTACAATGAACTGTGTCTCCTAGCTTTGATTCACCATTGAGACAAGGAATTCCTTCAAAACGCAAGCCTGCTATGGTGGTTTTATTGAAACATTGTCTTAAATGGTCACTGCTCTCTATCAATTTGTCCGTTTTCTTGCAATCAGCTTCAGAGGACACCTGATAAAGTGAGATGATGGCTCAGTGTTTAAGAGTACATACACTCTCAGAGGAACTGAGTTCAGTTCCCAGCACTCATGGCAGGCAGTCACAACCGCCTGTAACTCCAGTTCCAGTGGGACCTGAGCTTCTAGCTGCCATAGACTCTTGCACTCACATGCACAAAACCAAAGAGTGACAGACACAGAGACACATGATTAAAAATAAAGTAAATCATTTCTTAATAATAAAAAATCTGAGTGCATTAATTATCTCAGCTTAGACATTAGATCTGTCTAAAGCTTTATCTTAATGAAAAGACACATATCACAACCTGCAGGTCATCACTTGCCATGCTTTTCTTCACCCTCTGCACTAAGTTCTAGCAACTGTCAGCACAATTCATTCTCCAGTTAATTAACCCTTTGCTTTCCTACATGAGAATTCTTCTCAACTCTTCATCCTCCTTGACACCCTAGAAAAGTCCCATAACATCTACCTTCCTCTTCTGAGTCCCGATACAGTTTTCAAAGAAACTCTGGTGTCCTGTGGCACCTCTTGACTACCATGCATCCATCAACCTTCTTTCTTTAACACAATAGTAAGAAACACACACAACAAAGCATGACTCTCGGGTTACTGAAGAGAATGGACTTTATTAAGCAGAAGCTCAAGTTTCAAATTCCAACAAGGTGGTCTTGTGTAAGATGAGCCTGAGAGGTGCACAGCAGTGCCACTCATCAAGAAAGGGGGCTCAGTGGTACTTGTGGGACAGAGCATTGGCCACACCAGCCACCAACTTCTGCCAGGCAGCCTGCACCTCTGCGGTGAATTCCTTGCCAAAGTGAGAAGAAAGAACAATCACCAGCATGTTACCCAGGAGCTGTGAGAAGAAACACAAAAAAGATACACAAAAGTGAGAAAAGAAGATACAGAAAAGAATTTGCAGGAAATAAATAATATTTTTAAGTTATATTCCCTGAGGACTCCAGTCCCCGATTATCTATCCATTCTAATGAGGAGGTTGGTTCAGTTTCACTGTTCACGTGCCCTCCTTGCTCCCCTGCTCCCTTCTGTCTCCACAGTCCACCATTTCTATGTTGCTTTCTCCTTTTCTTATTCACCAATGGCCTGGATTCAATAAATGCAGGATTTTGGTGCAACAGCACGTTTACTAGAGTTTAAGTCTTCACTAATGAAGAAGGTGAATACTTCTTATGCTTTTGCTCATTAGGAATGTAATGCTTTTTAGAAAGTTCATCAAAAGCAATAAAAAAATCTGTCTACTTTTCTCTCATATCTTTCCTGAAGTGTCAATCATTTAGAATACACACAAATAATGTATTTCTCCTTCTCTAAAACAAAATTTCAATTTCAAATACTATTTCTACTTCCACACAGGTGCTAATTCCTTTTAAGGAAATAAAGTAGGGGGGATTTATAACCAGCTCCAGAAGTTTGCTCCTTTTTGTCCTTTGGTAGGCATCGAGTCTCAGACTTTCTATACCCTGGAAAAGCATTCCACCAACTGAGTTACATACTGAGACACCACATGTCTGTCTAAAAAACTTTGTTGAATATTTGCAGATTTATGGGAAACATTTCTAGCATTTCATTAACACTAGATTTGGTCTTACATATTTTGAGATCTGGGCCAGCATAACCAGTCATACTCTTTTTACGATTAATTAAATTTCTTCATTTCTTTTACATCTGGACCACAGTTTCTCATCCTTCCTCTCCTCCCATTCCCTTGCTCCACCTCCCTCTTCCCATTGCCTACCTCTCTGTTTCTATTCAGAAAGGGGCAGGCCTCCCATGGGTATTAACAAAGCATGGCATATCAAGTTGAGGTAGGACTAAGCTCCTGCCCTTGTATTAAGGCTGGACAAAGCAACTCAATATAAGGAATAGGTTCCTGGAAATAAGCATAAGCACTAGGAACCAATCACGCTCTTAGCATTAATTCCCCTGCCCATGTCATACTTAAATTGAGCAGATGAGCATGTTCCAAACTGACCTTGAAGTTCTCAGGATCCACATGAAGTTTGTCACAGTGCAGCTCACTCAGATGAGCAAAAACCTCC